ACATTAGTGTATGGTACTCCTGTAAATAGCCTGGAAGAGCTGCAGCTACGGATTAATCAAAAGTGTCAAGAAATCCAAACCAAGGAGGGTGTTTTCGAAAGAGTTCGAATATCGTTGAGACGAAGATGTCGTGCCTGCTTGGAAATGGACGGAGGGCACTTTGAACATCTTCTGTAACTTTGTTTTTTGTTTGTTAAAAGCTTCCTTTGTCGGTTTATTCCTAATAAAATAAAATGTTTGAAAAACGAATAGTGGTCCATATCTCCGCAACCGTTACTTTGCGGACCCATGTTTATTAAGACTTTTCTGCTTATTTTGGTTCATACTATTACCTCCTGAAATATTTTACACTCTTTTTTTAACACCCTGTATATTTCTCATAATGCTTATCTACGTATCCGTATACTATATATCGGGAAATTATTCATAGAATTCACATTGAATATTTCTAATCAGGGAATAATGACTCCTGAATTGTGTAATTACAAATAATGAATACTATGTTGTTGAACAAAATTCATGAATATCTTGGATTAATATTTATAGTTATCTTTTGTATTAGTGAATATAAGCTCTTTGAATATTGCCTACTGTAATACCCAGCCCAATTTTACTGAGATGTTTGGTAATATATGTCCATGATCTGTTAAAAGTCCAATGACAATTATTACATCTACTTAACATGCAAATTCTCCAATTTTCGACAGCTATGAGTCATTTATTCGAACTGTTAGTTCTCACCAGCATGCTGTATTTAAATATCTATCTACCTACATGTTTTAACCGTATAGGTGAAAAATATTGTGTCGATAGGTATCAAATAGCAGTGACAATTAACTCACATAACATACTTTGTTGGTGATATCTTATCTACAATTAAAGCCTAATCTGTCCAAATCAGATCCATCGGACCCTTATTCTGTTAACAGTTCTTTGATCCAATTATCATGGATCTTGTTGGACATTGTAATAGCCCGAATATTGTTTCTGGCGCCATAAATTGATTACTTGAGCCCTACCTGGTCAACATGTAGGTCCTTTTATTGTCCGTTATATGATCAGGGACTCAGGTCAGTTTCATTTTGCGGCTTGGTACAAGGCATTGGTACATCTGCGACCACGCAGAAAGGTACATCAAGGCCAGATAAATATTTGCACATATTTGAAACGCTGTGATTCTTTTTGAGATTTTATTGTGCTCATGTTAAGACAGCGAATGTTTCAGATTAGAAAACCGTGATATATACTTCCTCAGAGGATTAAACGGATTCACCTCTATTAGTATACCACGGATACCCGTTCCGAAGTTTTCGTCTGTCTTAAACCGGGTCTAGACGCTAGGTTTTGCACAACGTTTTACCTGCGCAGTCACAAAACGGAATGAAAACGTTGAAAGTGAAGAGCGTCCACATGGTGCAGATATGTCTGTATATATTTACTCAGTTTTCGCGGAATCGACCGTAAAAATAATTACATATTTTTTATAACTGTTTCTCTATTTGCTGCAGCTTGAACCTCTCCGAATTTTTCAATTAAAATTTCGTATGCCTGGCTCTTTTTGTTTCTGTCACCATATTCCGTTAATTTCACACGGCCAAGAAATGGGAAACTCGAAACTCTTATACAAGTCAATAGATTCTGTCAGAAACTCACTGGAACGTTGACGAAGATCTGCCATTTTGCGACAATTTACCTATTCAATTGGTAAAACGTATCACAAAACGGAGTGAACGTCTACAACCACCGATTTATTTGCGCAATTGGTGGATAACTAGCTCATCGCCCCATTTTTCCCATGCGGTGAACCGTCTCCGCGCAATTCTGGAAACTGCATAGTTTTCCTGTCCACAAGCAAATTCTTGTCTGCAACGTCTTGAACTGCGCAGGTAAAACGTTGTGCAAAACCTAGCGTCTGGACCAGACCATTCTACGAACAGTGAATCAGACGAACCCACTGGAAACATCAGGATTATCATCTGATATTTCCACCTTCTGTGTATTTCTTTGAAACAAAACACTAAACTGTGAAAACTCTGAACCTTTGAACTGGAACAGAACCTTTGAACGAGCTTTGAAAAAACATTATATTTCTTTGAAAAATTCTGGTAGGGAATATGTTTTCGATAGCAGTTTCAAAAACTATTTAAAGTACGATGTTTTTTCGAGTTGTTGCGTACTCAAACAAACGGTTGCTTCGACGTAAAAAACTGTCTTACTTAAAAATTGAGATTGGCATTGCGTCTATCCATCATTATTTCGCAAAATTCTAATCTGCGGTCGCAATCATCTTCAATAAGTTCGTGAAATAAATGTAATCCCTATAATTAGACCAACCGGTACAAGAACTTCTCCCCACGGAATTTGTATGGGTTCCATTTGTTTTTATGTAAATATTTTAGACAATTCGCTTATGTTCGAGTCATGTCGCCATATCCTACCATCATCAAAATTTCTATTCGATGTGACTAAACGGTAACAAGTCAACAATCAAAATTCCCAAAATTGAAAAAAAATAAATAAATACACAATTGAATGTTTTGCTCCATTTATAAAAAAAGGCCCTCAGAAATCAAATCGATAATACACTCCTCAACAATTGAACTGGATACTTCTGATAATCTTGAAATATTAATCCAATAATATTAAAATTATTACAGTGCATACCGACAATGGGATCAATATCTTCTGCTATGTTTTTTCCTGTGTGGTCAATAATTTGAACATGCAATTTGATTTCTTGTTCTGTTTTATTAATAAGTAAATAAATCGTAAAGGGTC